TCCCCCTTCTCAGTAGAATTTCACCCTTCGTGGGGTCTTGTTGTTTTGTCTTTTTGGTAAAATGACCCTCAGAGGTCAAAGGAGCATAGAATAGACTCAGAGGTCAGAGTCAGCCCCCCCACCCACATGCTGCTATCTTGGAATGTTAAATATGATCATATGACCACCAACTCAAGCAATGCAATCTTGGGTTCTGTACCTAAACCAAAGGGTCAGCCAAGCTCTATTCTTTCCTTTTTTATAGCACCACTAGAGAAATATTTTTGGGAAAACGTGAGAAGTAAGTTAATTGAAAGATCTTTATTCTATTCCCAGCAGACGGACATGATGGCAGGAGGACCTTGAAGGGGCATCTCAGATTGTCTCCATGTTGTTACAGAGAAGATAACATCACAGAAGACCGGGCCACACCACCTCTCCATCCAGGACTAAATAGACCACCCACTCCATCTATCCTTCAGGAATCGTCTTCTGATAAATCGCTCCACCTGATCCCAGATCGTAATCTAGGACTTTGTGGTGTGGACTGGCCATCGGGTCCCCCTAACCCCGAGGAAACTGTGCACCATAAAGCTCTTAGAGGCAATAAACTGCACCTCTGTACTTTTTGCGGCAAACGGTTTACCACGCACGCCAACGTTGTGCGTCACGTGCGGACCCACACGGGGGACAGGCCCTATTCCTGCACTTTATGTGGGAAAAGTTTCACGCAGAAGTCCATTCTCCTTAATCACCAGAAGGTCCACACCGGGGACCGACCGTTCCCGTGCCCTGACTGTGGGAAATGCTTTGCTAAGAGCTCGGACGTCATCAGACACCGGAGGGTTCACACGGGCGAGAGGCCCTATTTGTGTCTGGAGTGCGGTAAATCCTTCACTCAGAAATTCCGACTGAGGAACCATCAGCACTTCCACAAAGAGGAGGAGCAGTCCCGGCGTTTGGAATGTGGGTGGGGCTTAGCCAGCAAATCCAATCAGTTTAGATGATACAAAATTGTGCCTTTTTGATGGGGAAGCCACCACTGAAGAACCCGTCTTTGTGCTAGATCCCCAGCTGAAATCTAAGAGCAGTCAGATGTGCCTACACTGGCTACAGTAAGGAGGTAGAGAGCAGATGCAATATATAGACTCAGCTGGTTGAGATGGCTGAAGATATAAGAGAGGAGGTACAAACCAGAAGCGAGCAACACAGGTGCAAATTTAAAGCATCTGCACACCTTATGGGAATCTAGCTCTGACAGTCTCACGTTTCAGGCACTGAGCAGGTGTTTAGGCTGCACACACAGACCAGGCATGTGCTAAGGGGACTAGGACCCAGAAATAATTACGGACCCAAAAAATTAGAGTCCTGCTGTAGAGTAAGCTCAAAGGATGCTTGGAACCAAGAAAATGTTTGAAAAATTGAGGGTTTCTTTTACCAGAAAATGTAAATTGTGGAAATGTGATTTTTGAATAAATTTCATGCTTGCCATCTTTTACATGTTGACGCTGTTATTTGTAGTCTTTAAACTGGGATTCCAGCGAGAAATTGATGAAAACTATGATGCCAGATATGGTCCACGTGGGCACCTGTTTCTCTTCACCCTAAAGGCACTAGATATGATCTCGGGTGACATAGATAAAAGGCCATGAGGAGCAGAAATAGTGTTCCAGAGCATTATGGGAGGTCAAAGTGGGAGTGCTAGCCTTCACCGTGGTAGTTGTTCCATATACAAAGATGTTCCTCCAGCCTAGGAGGTGCTTGTTGGATTGGGTACCATCAAAAAAGATGTTCCTCTGTCCTCTAGCCTAGGAGGTCATTGTTGGTTTGGATACCATAAAAAAAAGAGGTTCCTGTGTTGTCTTGCTTAGGAGGTCCTCATTGGATTGAGTACCATCAAAAAAGATGATCCTCTGTGGTCTAGCCTAGGAGGTCCTCGTTGGATTAGGTACCATCATAAAATAGATGTTCCTCTGTTGTCTAGCCTAGGAGGTCCTTGTTGGCTTGGGTACCATCAAAAAAGATGTTCCTCTGTTGTCCAGCCTAGGAGGTCCTCGTTGGATTGGGTACCATCAAACAAGTACCTGTGATTTAGTGGTGTCATGTGCTTCTCTTGATTGAGGTGAGTATTTAGCCCAGGACTCAGATTCCAGGGGTCAGGTCACCAATGCGTCCTAAAAAATTCAGCAGATGCCCATTGTTGAGGTTTCCTCTAGGTGTTCTCAATGGAGCTAGCTCCAAAAAAAAAACCTGCTGGCAATTGAATTGGACAGACTGACTCCTGAATTCCATATTTTTCTGCACCTGGTTTAGCCCCACCTCCTCGCTAGGCTCCAAAGAAATTTCAGATTCAAGTCCACTTGGCCAAAGTACCACCACTTTGGTCAACCTCCCGTAACATATACATCAAGATTATGTTATGTTCTTCAGTCTAATGCCATTCATCTCTCAAAAGCCCAGGGTCCATGTTCCTGGTGGGCGTTATTGTATAATATGCCCAGTTGGGTTATAGTTAAAGCTCAAAAGCTAAAGTTCACAAAAATTAAAGAATTCCTCAATGCAAGCATGTATCATAAGGATGAAGAATGCCGACGCACATGGGTCTACTGGATGTATTTTTACTTGCTCTCAGGATTACAGGACCTTGACCTTGGTTTGGATCTGGATTTTGTATAGGGTGCCTCTGTGCCACCACATTTGACCCCATGGGATTTGAATTTAGTTCTCTTGGCTTTAAAAAATAAACATTTCCTGTTTCTTCATAACTGGGTACATGGTAAGCTTACTATGACCTCAGTTGTGTAAAAACACTTAGCGATCGCCTGTCACAGGAGCTCAGCTCTCCTCCCACACTGCCCTACTTGGCCTCCTGACAGGTCACTCCTCCTCACCCCGCCCCGCTCGGCCTCCGTACAGCTCTCTCCTCCCTGCACAGCCCCGCTCAGCATCCTGACAGGTCTCTCCTCCCCGCACTGCCCCGCTCGACATCCTGACAGGTCGCTCCTCCCTGCACAGCCCCGCTCAGCATCCTGACAGGTCGCTCCTCCTCACCCCACCCCGCTCGGCCTCTGTACAGCTCTCTCCTCCTCGTACCGCCCCGCTAGGCCCGTCCTCTGGTCCCTACAGATCGCTCAGGCCTGCTCGACATCCTGACAGGTCGCTCCTCCCTGCACAGCCCCGCTCAGCATCCTGACAGGTCGCTCCTCCTCACCCCACCCCGCTCGGCCTCGGTACAGCTCTCTCCTCCCTGCACAGCCCTGCTCAGCATTCTGACAGGTCTCTCATCCTCGTACCGCCCCACTCAGCATTCTGACAGGTCTCTCATCCTCGTACCGCCCCGCTCAGCATTCTGACAGGTCTCTCCTCCCCGCCCCGCTCAGCATTCTGACAGGTCTCTCCTCCCTGCACCTCCCCGCTCAGCATTCTGACAGGTCTCTCATCCTCGTACCGCCCCACTCAGCATTGTGACAGGTCTCTCCTCCCCGCCCCGCCCCGCTCAGCATTCTGACAGGTCTCTCATCCTCGTACCGCCCCGCTCAGCATTCTGACAGGTCTCTCCTCGCCACATCACCCCACTCGGCCTCCTAGCAGCTCCTCTCCTCCATGATGGACACCGGCAGCTGGGTCAGCTCTGTGTCCCCTCTGATCCCGCTGCTTCTGCCAACACAGACAGAGGAGGGAGCAGTGAAGATCAGAGGGCACACAGACTGATGCCCAGCGGGGAGGAGAGCAGCTGGGGATGCATGACATTTGCGGCCATTTTTATCGAACTTTACTTAAAAGAAATACAAACAGGAACCAGGCAAAACCCTTCCAGACCCGCGCAGCAGTGCAAATATTATATACAAAGAAAAAGCGAGAGAATATAAAATAGGCCGTGGGTCTTTCCATCTAACACATACAGAAAGAAAGCTGAATTACTGTCCCATGCAACAACCGGGATCCATGACCAAAGGCACAACAGTACAAAAACTGCAATCCAGAAAGTGCAATATAACTGGCAGCGGCCAACTGGGCTCCAAGAGGGAGCCATAGTACCATTTTTGACCGAAATGTTGGTGCATCCCTACTGAATATATTAGGGATGCACCGATACCAGTTTTTTAGTATCTAGTACAGATTTTTATCTTTCTGTATTCGCCGATACCGAGTACCGATACTGGGAGCCGGGTGGCGTGTCATTACCTGCTGCCCGGCTTCTTGATTGCCTGGGAAGCCGGCTTCATGCTGTTTGGCTGGCTCAATGCTGATTGCCCAGGAAGCCAGGCAATCCACATCGAGCTGGCTAAACAGAATGGAGCCTGCTTCCTGGCCAATCAGGAAGCCAGCTCAATGCTGTTTGACCAGCTCGATGCCGATTGGACAGGGAGCTGGTTTTCCCAGCCAATCAGCTTCAGACCCGGCCACAAACAGCATGGCCAATGTGGAAGCCCAGGCAGTGAGTCATTAATTCCTGACTGGCCGGGAAGCCGGCTCCATGTTCCCTCGCGGCAATGGCGGTCAGAGGAAATCTCCCTCTGATCGGAAGGTCCAGTATCGGGGGTAAGTATCGGAGCACTCGGGCAAGAATTTCGGCGCATCCCTACAATATATATTATATATACAGTTGCGGCTATTAAGCAAAAGTGGAGTTTTTCCTAAAACATGTCTCACAATACAGAAAACGTCCTCCTGCATCCACCATTGGCTGTGTTAGCGTTTAGCCACGCCTCCAAACGAAGTACCAAGGGCCTTCGCCCAATGTGTCCAAATATGGATCGATAAAAAACCCGACAAGCCCACTTTTTTGTTGTCAGCCGTATCAAATGTAAAAAGTTTCCTTCTTGGAGGAAGTAATCAGGCCGGCTGCTGAAAAATACCAGAAAATTATTTATTAGTTATAGTAGAAATATTAAAACGGGATAAAGTTGATCTTTATATACCAACAGGGACTATATATAATGTGTGTGTGTATATATGTGTATATATATGTATATATATACACACACACACACATCTTCCCCAAAGGCTAGAAAACCTTTTTCTACTACTAACCGGAGTCCTTCGCAGGTCCTTTTTGTCCTATTTCTCCCTCCATAAACCTGATAAAGCCAAAACACCGTTTTACGTATGCTCATTCCTAAATGGTGTGCAAATAAGCCAACGCCACGCCTTAATACAGTCACTCATGACACATTTGTTGCTGGCATGAAAGTACCACAATGATCAGTTACATCATTCGGTTGCTAAATGCCTGGCACCGTAGGCAAAAGGCAGATCGCTCCGCTTGAGCTGCCTGACCGCCAACGTGCAGGAAAAACAAAAACCCAGAAGGGTGTTTGTTACAGTGCGTGAGAACATGAATAGCTCCACCCTTTTAAATGAGCATGAGAGGCCTTGGGTTCTCCATGGGCAAGCCCTTCCAGTGGACTGATCCTTCAAACTCCCTCGGAAAAGCGGTCAGGTATTCCCACCGACGTGAACCCTCTGATGATAGAGGAGGTTGGCTTTCTGTGCAAAACACTTGCCGCAGTTCCGGCACATGAAGGGTTTTTCCCCTGTGTGGGTTCGGTTGTGTATGACCAGGTGGGACTTGTGCTTGAAGAACTTCCCGCACAGCGGACAGGAAAAGGGTTTCTCTCCCGTGTGAATCCGCTGGTGCTCGGCGACGTGCGACTTGCGGGCGAAACACTTCCCACATTCGGAGCAAGCGAACGGCTTCAGTCCCTTGTGGATCTTCATGTGCCGGATTCGGTTGGAGATGTGGGTGAAACATTTGCCGCATTCCGAGCAAGGGTAGATCTTGTCTTTGGGTCTTGCCTGTGTCCGCGTGATGACTCGATCTGGAATACATTCTGGATCGGCGGGGTAAGAGGGGCTATTCGCCCCGCGAAGTCCGGGATGTAGACTTGGAATAACAGAGTTGTCTCCTTCAGAGTTTGGCGCACTGTCTGCATCTTCTGCCTTCAAATAGGACAATAACATCGGAGGATTGTCTGGGGCCGTCTGGCTGTAGTGACCATCTATGAGAAGAAGGTGGCATTCAAAAAACACCTTTGGTTGGGGTGATCAGCTTATGTATATTGGAACATGGCCGACCAGGGTCAGTCAACAAAAGGAACCTATTAACTTTTTTTTTCTGGATTTTTCAAGTACTGCTCACCTGGAATGATAAATGTTGGGCTGTCCTCCTCCAAACATGGCTGTTCACCCCTTAAATACGAATCTTCTTCACCCTCTACGATTTCTACTTTAATACCAACCAGGTCTTCAACCTACAAAATACAACACAAAGTTTAACAGATCAAGAAGAAGCAGTGGGCAAAACCACAAGATGAGTCTCCGTCATCTTTTTGTGAGGCCCTCAGGATCTACCTGGTAACGGTGAGGGATCTCATGATGTTCCTGTTTGGAATCCCGGGAATACAGACGACGGGGATATCTCTCTGGTGGGTTCCAGTTACTGGATACATCTGTAGAAAACACATACAGACTGAATATGTTGTTTATGCGTGTTGTTGATGGGTGGGGATTCCTTTGTAGTTGCTTACAATGAAGTCTTCTCTTACCCGATAATGTGAAAGTCTGATGGTTCTCATTCTTGATGTCCTTGTGTCCCTCTACATGATCCCAGTCCTACACGGAGAACAAGTACATGTGTTAAAATGTAGCCCAAAGATCTCTATGAACCTTTCAAGAAATAACATCAATCACCACAGGTCCTCCCATGACATTATCAAGCAGTCTTGTCCACTGGTTGCAACTCTGGTGTGGTGTGAAGAGGTTATGCCCTAGATTGGAGATGGGATAGAACCTCCATCAATTTTTGGCACTTCCTTATCAATTTTTCCTGGTGACCATCTATAAGGGGCAATCCAAAATGTTATGTTAGTTACTGAACAGGAGTGGAATGGGGAACCTCCTGATGGGGACACCATTTTATGGTAGCAACTCTCAAAGTTGGGATTTTTCCTCACGTTGAGAAGATTTCCACTCACTTCCAGCCATGCCTCTGGCGCAGGAAGCAAAATGAAACCTTCCTGATGGTGCCAATGACAGAGGTACCAACCCTTCCCCACTCTATCAAGATCTACTCTAATGAAGACCTATTGTTGCACTATTCATGAAAACACTTTCTTTCTGAGGGCTATAGCTCCATTGGGAAAGTACTCTGAAAAAACTGACAGCCCCCACACAAGGCAACAGCAGAAAAAGATCTCTTTGAACCTTACAAGAGAAGACATCAATCACCAGAGGTCCACCATGACATTATCAAGAAGTCTTGTCCACTGGTTGCAACCCTGGTGTGGTGTGGAAAGGTTATGCCCTAGGCTTAGCCCCCCTGTGGCCCAAATGTCCCTCTACTGGTTGGGAACACCAACAGGAGTTGGACCATTAGGTTCCACCTAAAGAAGTCTTTGGAATTCCTTTTGAGAACATCCTATGCTATGTGGGTGTCCTGTCAGAAATGGCGTACAAGGAAGGAGTCAATTTAGTGTCCATCCCTCTGCAAGTACTATTGTGTGGTGGCTGCGTAACCAAACTATGACTTCCTGTTGGTATATGGAGAACTCCTATTGGTTACGTATGAGGTCATTATCAAGGCACATCCATTGTCTGTTACTGGATCATGTCCCAGAATTCCCGGCGCCGCTCACCTCTCCCGTCAGCAGCTCAATGATCTTCTGGGTGACTTCAAGAATCTTTTTGTTGTTAATTTTTTCCTTCCTGCTCCTGCCACATAAATGATTGTGCGTAGTGAAATGCTCTCCAGATGTCTTCTTCACTACCGTGTAATCCTGTACATTGAGACATCAATATATCAATAAATATAGACTGTGACCTCCCAGAATCCTCCTCACCTCTCCGGTCAGGTCTGTGTTTTATAATAGAGATAAGAGTGATGTCATGTGACCTCCCAGAATCCTCCTCACCTCTCCGGTCAGGTCTGTGTTTTATTAATAGAGATAGGAGTTATGTCATGTGACCTCCCAGAATCCTCCTCACCTCTCCGGTCAACAGGTAGATGATCTCCAGGGTGAGGTTTATTATCCTTTCAGTCACGTGACTTCCATCCTTCTCCATCATGGAGCCCCTGAATAATAAAGACATGTTTAAAGATCAGCGCCATCTAAAACATATTTCATGGTTGTATTACAGGCGTGCCGCCATCTTATATGTCTTGGGGACCCCAGTAGTTCTTGGGGACCCCAGTATATCTTGGGGACCCCTGAGATTTCTCCACCAGAGCTTCCTGTTCCATCTAAATATTGCAACCCTCATAACTTTTACGTAAAGCTCAGAAAACATCCACCATCTTTGTAAAGGGTCACTTACTGCTGATGGGGGTCCCGGTATCTTTAACAGTCATACACATGTGGAAAATCAGGATCGCTGAGTGGCCATTCCTTCTCCATGGAATATAGTAGCCGTCAGTGGTGGTGAGGGGAGAGCAGACACGGCACTACTCCCTCCATTTCCCAATATTCCCATTTTCCTAGGAGGCAACTCTGTGAGAGTCCTGACGTCACCCAACACCAGCGCAGGCAATACGACACTACCAGAGCTGTGGATTAGAATGCTTTGTGCAGATGGATAACTTACAACAAGTACAACGACGGGTCGGTATGAGTAGCACAAGGACTTCAGCCATTTTTTGGAGAACATACTAATGGACGTATGGCCCGGAATGCTGCTTTTAAGTTGCATGGGGGCAGGTACCCTTGGCAGCTGAAGATGGCGGCGTACGCACATTGAGCGCCATACGGCGCAGAAGACCGCTGGCTTTAAGGATCGTCTTATAACGTACAGGTTGTACTTTTAAGAGGGAACTGAAGGCGTTTAGCCAAGTTTAGGTGTAACCTTTATAACACAACAATATTATCACCGCTGCAAATCATGTTAATGAAAGTTACCTCTTCCCGGAGACTCTCAGTCCACAAACTCAGCTCCTGCAGGTTGGTCACCAAACGGGAAGCAGAGCAGCTGCAGCGAGGGGTTCTGGGAGTTATAGTCCTGGGGAACTTTCCCATTACTTTGTTTGACCATGAAAATATGCCCGCCAGCCCCTTGTCACCCCCAGATGCTTCAACCTCTAGTGTTCAAAGTGGCCCATCAGCCGCTCCTCCATCTCTGACACCTCATCTCTCCTCCTCGTTAATCTGTGGAAACAAAAGATACCAAGGCTTAAAAAAATGGAGTCCTGGGGCCCCACACTTCAGCTCCAACCCTCTCTCTATAGAGTAATGTGGACCATGACAAGATGGCTGCTTCCGCTCTTGAAGACAGGAAGTCAGCTGGAACACAGACTTCTGATTGCAGGAAGTTCCTGGGTGAAAGGTGAAAAGACAGGACATTCCAGGGTGAAAGGTGAAGAGACAGGAAGTGTAAATGAAGCCATTGATGTTACTCCCTGCCAGTACTGATTTACATACAGACCACAATACGAGCACAAAGGAGTTTTGAGCTCCTTTATCACCATGATAAATATGGAGAACCCCCACCCCTTGATCTATCACCAAGACTATTTTTGGTGAAACATGAAGTGACCATTTTATACATTATCGACCGTAGCTGAGGGATTTATGTGGAAGGATCCAATAGGGCGCTTGAGGAGGAATTCAGTGTCTTTGATGTAAATTTGTTTCAATTCAGACCCATTGTTCCCCGGACTGTTTACCTCTGATCTATCATCCCCTTAACACATTGAACAAGCTTATGGTGGCCACCTTTTCTTCAAGCACCCAAACACTCTAGCGTCATGCAGCAACTTTTTTTTCTTGGAGACTACAGGAGATAGCCAAGAGAGAGAGTGATGAGAGACAGCCAGGAGAGAGACTGAGGAGAGACAGCCAGGAGAGAGAGGGAGGAGAGGCAGCCAAGGAAGAGAGAGAGGGAGGAGAGGCAGCCAAGGAAGAGAGAGAGGAGAGGCAGCCAGAGGAGAGAGCGAGGAGAGACAGAGCAAGGAGAGGCAGCCAGGAGAGAGAGCGAGAGACAGCCAGGGGAAAGGAGAGACAACCAGGGGAGAGGAGAGACAGCCAGGGGAGAGAGAGGAGACACAGCCAAGGAAGAGAGAGAGGAGAGACAGCCAAGGAAGAGAGAGAGAGGAGAGGCAGCCAGGAGAGAGACTGAGGAGAGGCCGCCAGGAGAGAGCAAGGAGAGAGAGGAGAGGCAGCCAAGGAAGAGAGAGAGAAGAGGCAGCCAGAGGAGAGAGCGAGGAGAGACAGAGCAAGGAGAGGCAGCCAGGAGAGAGAGCGAGAGACAGCCAGGGGAAAGGAGAGATATCCAGGGGAGAGGAGAGACAGCCAGGGGAGAGAGAGAGAGAGGAGGCACAGCCAAGGAAGAGAGAGAATGAGAGACAGCCAAGGAAGAGCGAGAGGAGATGCAGCCAGAGGAGAGAGAGAGGAGAGACAGAGCAAGGAGAGGCAGCCAGGAGAGAGAGCGAGAGACAGCCAGGGGAAAGGAGAGACATCCAGGGGAGAGGAGACACAGCCAGGCAAGAGAGAGGAGAGACAGCCAGGGGACAGAGCAAGGAGAGGCAGCCAGGGGAGAGAGAGAGAGAGGAGAGACAGCCAGAGGAGAGACAGAGCAAGGAGAGGCAGCCAGGAGAGGGAGCGAGAGGCAGCCAGGGGAAAGGAGAGACAGCCAGGGAAGAGAGAGGAGAGACAGCCAGGGGACAGAGCAAGGAGAGGCAGCCAGGGGAGAGAGAGAGGAGAGACAGCCAGGGGAACCGAGCAAGGAGAGGTAGCCAGGAGAGAAAGCGAGAGACAGCCTGAGGAAGGGAGAGACAGCCAGGGAACAGAGCAAAGAGAGACAGCCAGAAGAGAAAGTAAGGAGAGACAGCCAAGGGAGAGTGAGGAGAGACAGCCAGGAGAGACAGCCAGGAAAGTGTGCCCTGTAAGACTTTTATGCACCCTGTGTTTCAGACACATGCTTGCTCCCCAAGTTGCAGCGCCCCTCCATGTCCCATGCCTCCTCGATGCAGGAACACCAAGACCCCGTGGTTGCTCCTGCCTGCCTGACATCGTGACATCTTGTGTCCGGGTTTCAGCTGGCCTGAAACCCGGACACAGCACACACAGGACTCAAAACACAGACTGTCCTGGTGAATTCCAAACAGTTGGCAACCCTAGCCAAGCTAGATGGATTTAAGGAAACCAATAAACTTATAAATAGCAACACACAGCTGTCTTCATTAGACTACCCCCTTCCCACTGGTCCTTCCCACCCGGGCTCCACATCCCGCACCATCATTTATAAAAATAACATCACTGGTGGACGGCTTCTTTCTCATTCTCTTTGCCGGGCCACCCATGACGTCTGCAATTGTCGATAACAAGCTACACCAGATGTTGTAGAACACATGCGCGAGATCAGGTAAGATCTCCCTGGAAGGCACTCGTGACATAGCCTGGGGGCAGCTGTGAGGCCCTGACTACATCACCAGGAAGTGAAACAAATGAATACATAAAAAATTTACAATTTAAATGTTAAAAAAATGATAAAGGGACAGGGGACTTCTATATTGAAGGGGGGCTTCTCATATGGGAAGAATGACCTATGACCCTTTCTATCAGGATCACAGCTTTCCTCCCATGGATGCCTATGTGCGTCCTTGAAAAGCCTTCCCCGCGCTTCTCTCCAGCCCTTTTCTCCTCTTATCACTTATCTTATTTGTAGGAAATCACATTAGTATTTGAGGCCAATCTGCCATCTGTCTCCCATTGGGGGCGATTTCCCTTCACTTCCTGTCCCATACTCACAACAGGAAGTGAGAGGACATCCCTTCAAATGAGGGAAATCCCTGGTCAGCAGGTCACCAGAATTAGTGCCCCCAATGTAAGAATTTCCATCTATTACTGTTCTGGTGACAACCCATAATTCGGGATCTTCTTTCACTTCCAGTGGTCACCGCGATGAATGGAGGGGGTGAATCGCCCTGAAGAGGACACAGACAGCAATAAAAGCCTGACAAGGTTCTAATCCCTCTCCATTATTGAGGTTTAATAAATGGACAACCCTGGTGATGGCCTCCTCTCTGCTGGCCTGTCCTCCTTTACAGACAAGCCTACATTCTATGCTCACTGTGAAGGTCTTGCACTAACAAACAACACGAGTAACAACAACAGCAATACAATAAAACAAAACAACCAGCTTATACTTTATTGACAGTTTCTGACATACTAAACACGTTACAGCTTTTCCAGTGTATCGATTCTCTTCCCGTATTTCAAGGCCAGTGGTCCCTGACCTTTGTAGGCCCAACGGCCTGAAGAAGAAGCTTCTCAGCAGGTCATCTATATTATATCATCCATCTTATCTACCAAAGTTCCTGTCATCTGAAGACGGATAACGCCAGTTAATTACCCTTGTTACAAAAAAAAAATCTGCGGTACCACCACGATTCAACGCCAAGATTCTGTGTGGTCCTGACCATGTGACCCTTCAATGGTCTATGTCCCTCAGCTTCCCACGTTGATGTCTTTTTAGGTTCCTCTTGACTACCCAGAAGAGGTTGAGGGTTGATCAGGTAACACGAAGATGGACGTGGTCTATAACAGTGGTTCTCAGCCCGCCAGGCTTCCTCTTTGCTCCAACAAGTTCGGACTGGCTCATCGGAGGTCACGAAGATTCACCGGTGGGCCTTCGCCTGCTGTATCACTTAAAAAGCCAGGGTACTACTACTACTTTTTTGGAATGAACATACCCGGGCTGAAATTGTTTCGTGGGAGGATTGATCTGCACCTAGTGGATCCGAAAATAGTTCTGGAGTCATTAGACTGGTCGCTAGTGGGTAACTGGTGGGATTGTCAGTCTTTATCTGAGGACAGTGATGTTTTCTGTCTTCAGGTGAGTTAAGTACCACCACTGGTTACCATTATTTAAGATCTCCCCTAGGGCCCATTATTATACTGACACCAATGATTTGAGTGGATATTTTTCACTTGGGGCCACTATTCCACTGGCACCAAGGATTTGAAGGACTATTTTTTTTCCTGAAGTTCCTTATCCCACTGATACCAATGAAATTGGGAGCCATTCTTGCCTGGTGGCCACTATCCCACTGATACCAATTATATGGGGAGCCATTCTTGTCTGGTGGCCACTATCCCACTGACACCAATGATTTGGTTAGCTATTCTTCCCTGGTGGCCACTATCCCACTGATACCAATGAAATGGGGAGCCATTCTTGCCTGGTGGCCACTATCCCACTGACACCAATGATTTGGTTAGCTATTCTTCCCTGGTGGCCACTATCCCCCTGACACCAATGAAATGGGGAGCTATTATTCCCTGGTGGCCACTATCCCTCTGACACCAATGAATTGGGGAGATATTATTTCCTGGTGGCCACTATCCCTCTGACACCAATGAAATGGGGAGCTATACCTCTCTGGTAGCCACTATCCCACTGACACCTATTACTTGAAAATCTATTTTTCCTGGGGTTTCCCACTGACACCAGGATTATTTTTCCTGGTGGCTACTATCCCTCTAACACCAATGTTATGGGGAGCTATTCTTCCCTGGTGGCCACTATCCCACTGACAACAATGATTTACTGTCAGCAGGATAATGGCCACCAGGGAAGGATAGCCCCTATCCTTCTCTGCTGACCATTATCCTACTGACACTAATTATTTGGGGAGCTATTCTTCCCTGGTGACCACTATCCCACTGACACCAATTACTTGAAGGATTATATTTCCTGGTGGCTACTATCCCACTAACACCAATGTTATGGGGAGCTATTCTTCCCTGGTGGCCACTATCCCACTGACACTAATTATTTGGGGGGGCTATCCTTCTCTGGGGCCACTATCCTACTGACACTAATGGAGCTACTCTGCTGTGGAAGCCGCTATTCCACTGACACCAATTATTTGAAGGACTATTCTTCCTGGGGTTACTATCCCAATGATTTGGGGAGCTATTCCTCCCTGGTGGCCGCTATCCCACTGACACCAATGATTTGGGGAGCTATTCTTCCCTGGTGGCCGCTATCCCACTGACACCAATTACTTGAAGGACTATTTTTCCTGGGGT